TAAAAGAGTAGGAAAAGCAGTACTGGGATACAATCTCCAAAGTGACAGAATGATCTCAGTTCGAATCCAAGGCAAACCATTCAACATCACAGTAGTCCAAGTCTATGCCCCAACCACTGGTGCTGAAGAGGCTGATGTTTTATGAAGGCCTACAACACCTTCTAGAATTAACACCCAAAAATGATGTCCTTATCATCATGGGGGATTGGGATGCTAAAGTAGGAAGCCAAAAGATAACCAGAATAACAGGCAAGTTTGGCCTTGGAGTACAAACTGAAGCAGGGCACAGGCTAGCAGAATTTTGTCAAGAGAATACGATGGTCGTAGCAAATACTCTTTTCCAACAACCCAAGAGACGACTCTACACATGGACATCACCAGATGGTCAACACAGAAATCAGATTGACTATGTGCTTGGCAGCCAAAGATGGAGAAGTTCTATACAGTCAGTAAAAACTAGACCAGGAGCTGACTGTGGCTCAGATCATGAGCTTCTCATTGCAAAATTTAGGCTTAAATTGAAGAAAGTAGGGAAAAGCACTAGACCACTCAGGTATGACCTAAATCATATCCCTGATGAATATACAGTAGAGGTGACAAATAGATTTAAGGAATTAGATATGATAGACAGAGTGCCTGAAGAACTATGGACGGAGGTTCGCAACATTGTACAAGAGGTAGCAACTAAAACCATTCCAAAGAAAAAGAAATGCAAGAAAGCAAAATGGCTGTCTGAGGAAGCTTTACAAATAGCTGAGGAAAGAAGGGAAGCGAAAGGCAAGGGAGAAAGAGAAAGATACATCCAATTGAATGCAGAATTCCAGAGAATAGCGAGAAGAGTTAAGAATGCCTTCTTAAATAAACAGTGCAAAGAAACAGAAGAAAACGATAGAATGGGGAGGACCAGAGATCTCTTCAAGAAAACTGGAGATATGAAGGGAACATTTCATGCAAAGATGGGCATGATAAAGGACCAAAATGGCAGGGACCTAACAGAGGCAGAAGAGATTAGGAAGAGGTGGCAAGATTACACAGAAGAACTATACAAGAAAGAGCTTTACATCCCTGATAACCACAATGGGGTGGTCACTGACCTCGAGCCAGACATCCTGGAATGTGAAGTCAAATGGGCCTTAGGAAGCTGAGCTATTCAAAAACTTAAAAGACGATGCAGTAAAAGTGCTACACTCAATATGCCAGCAAATTTGGAAAACTCAACAGTGGCCACAGGGTTGGAAAAGGTCTGTTCACATTCCTATCCCAAAGAAGGGCAATGCCAAATAATGTTCAAACTACCACACCATTGCACTCATTTCACATGCTAGCAATGTCATGCTCAAAATTCTACAAGCTAGGCTCCAGCAGTATGTGGACCGAGAACTACCAGGCAGGATTTAGAAGAGGGAGAGGAAGTAGAGATCAAATTGCCAACATATGTTGGATCATGGAGTTCCAGAAAAACATCTACTTCTGCTTCATTGACTATGCTAAAGCCTTTGATTGTGTGGATCACAACAAATTGTGGCAAGTTCTTAAAGAGATGGGAGTACTAGACCATCTTATTTGTCTCTTGAGAAACCTATATGCGGGTCAAGAAGCAACCGTGAGAACTGGGTACGGAACCACTGACTGGTTCAAAATTGAGAAAGGAGTTCAGCAAGGCTGTATATTGTCGCCCTGCCTATTTAACTTATATGCAGAGCACATCATGAGAAAGGCGGGCCTAGATGAATCACCAGTTGGAATTAAGATTGCTGGGAGAAATATCAACAACCTCAGATATGCAGATGATACCACTCTCATGGCAGAAAGTGAAGAGGAACTAAAGAGCCTCTTGATACGGGTGAAGGAGGACAGTGCAAAAGTTGGCTTGAAACTCAACATTAAGAAAACTAAGATCATGGCATCTGGTCATCTCAATTCCTGGCAAATAGATGGGGAAGAAATGGAGGTAGTGACAGATTTTATTTTCCTGGGCTCCAAGATCACCGCAGATGGAGACTGCAGCCAAGAAATTAAAAGATGCTTGCTCCTGGGGAGGAAAGCTAGGGCAAATCTAGATAACATACTAAAAAGCAGAGACATCACCCTGCCAACAAAAGTGCATATAGTCAAGGCTATGGTTTTCCCAGTTGCAATGTATGGCTGTGAAAGCTGGACCATAAGGAAGCCTGAGCACTGAAGAATTGAGGCCTTTGAATTGTGGTGCTGGAGGAGACTCCTGCGAGTCTCTTGGACAGCAAGGCGATCAAACCGGTCAGTCCTAGAGATCAACTGTTACTGCTTTTTAGAAGGCCAGATCCTGAAGATGAAACTCAAATACTTTGGCCACCTAAGAGAAAGAAGGACTCCCTGGAGAAGAGACTAATGCTGGGAACAATAGATGGCAAAAGAAGAAGGGGACGGCAGAGAATGAGGTGGCGAGATGGAGTCACTGAAGCAGTTGGTGTGAGCTTGAGTGGACTCCTGGGGATGGTGGAGGACAGGAAGGCCTGGAGGAATGTTGTCCATGGGGTCGCAATGGGTCGGACACGACTTCGCGACTAACAACAACATGGTCCAGATTCTGATCAGGACCTCTGTGTATACTATTTTCACTGGGAGTTTCATTTGCTCAGGTAGGGGCTTCCCCCACCCCACAGTGCAATTTGCAGGAAACGAGTGGCAAGCTGACTATGTTTTGTTTCCAGTGGGTTATATTGGTTTAAAGAACTCCCCTCTCTGCATGTTTGCTTACTGACATCACATTTCATTTAGCCTTTAGTTACTGGAAAGAGTTCAAGGGATGGAATTATTCTGTTTTGATGATACTAAACATACATGTTAAAATCCCCAGAATACCACCCATCTTGTTCCCTGGAAATGCCTGCATGAGCATTTGCTTTGAAATGGGAACCTTGGCTTGGATCCTAAGTTGTTTCACCTTTCATGGAAGGCAGTCTGACCCAATGGAGGCTTCTGCTCCACTGGAACAGGAGGAAGGAAAAAGATAATGTCCATTCTCCACTCCTCCTGCTGCCCACAATACCCACCATTCACCTCTGGATGGTTCCACAGCAGCCATCCAGAGCACAGAGAGAACCTAGGGAAAATTGTCTCCTTTCCCCTCCTAGAAGCTAGAGTATCTGGTGAGTGGTATTCTTCTCACAGGTAATTAAGAATTGAAGCCATAGTATTTTTTGAAGAATTTTGATATATATTTCTCTAGGGAAGAATCATGTCAAATAAGTAATGGAAATGAAAAAACAATTGTTTCTTATAATGTTATTGTATAATGCAAAATCCAAAATAATACATTCGCCGAGCCCTTAGGGCCCATCAAACCTTCAGTTTCTTTAGCAGCAATGTACATCATTAATGCTAACTTTTCATGCACAATATGTACCAACCCTGAAAATGACAATATTTACCCATTGTCAAGACTTTGGCTTGGTATTGTTACTCTTGTTGTTAGGAATCCCATTCTGAAACTGCAGAGGATGCAGGCATGATGTACTTGTACTCTGTAGAATGAAATCACTGTGAGGAGGACTAGCTGTTGTAGAACACAAACCACATGAGTTAACAGTTAAAATGCAGCAAATCCCCCACCCCACCCCTGCTGATTATTTTCTACTCATGCACATTTTTATGTTGAAGAAAAAAATTTTTGGTGGGTGCATTATGATGTACACTGTTTCATGACTAAGAAGAAATGTTTCTTTTGAAGGAGTGGCTTCCACAGGCTTCCAAACTTTCACTTCCCTCTCTTATGATTATCTCCTGCTTAGCTTTAAACGTTAATGGAATGAAACCTTCACCATCTGCAGTAAGAACAATCCAAGAAGAACCTGGAGGAAACAGAAACAAAGCATCAGGATGTATATCTGTGTAAGCACTGTTAAGTTAGGTGTGCGCCCTAAAATATTCCTGTCTGTTTTTCCCCAACAGGTGCTTATAGAAGTTTCACAAAACTTAAATAGTTGCAAGTGCTGATCCAGGTTTCAAACCAAGAGGAACAATATAATTGTCAGGATACTACTTCCTTATCTGGTTTTTATCGATAACTTTGCTAGTTTCGGCTTGGATCCTGAAAGGCTTTATTAAAAATAAAAGTAAAAGGAAGAGTACCCACTGGTGGTTCTTATTTTCATGTGGTAGAAAAGGGAGTGATACACACATACCAGTTTACATACATGCATCTCCTTATGCAGATCAATTTCTTTCAGAAGATATCAGCCTGATACAAAGATTGACTTTGCCTAATATTTATGCATATACTGCCCCATTTTGATTTTTCATTTAATTAGTTAAATCTACATTCTAATTCTTCTAGCATTTTATATCAAAATATTGTGGTTGGGATTCCAAACTCTACAGAACCAGTTGTGCTGGAATTGTGTTTCTTAAGTAGCAGTTTTCATGCCAGATGAAATTGCTTTTTAAATTGTTTCAAAGAAGCTTGTAATATGGCTTGGGGATCTATTATATAAAAATGCAACTGGAAGCACAAACAAAATGCCACTGGAAGCACAAACAAATTCTTAAGTATTTTCCTAAAATAGTTCTTTGGATCCCGGCATATATATCCTAGAAAAATATTAATGGCTGCTTTATATTTATATTTCTTAACCAGGATCAAAATAACTTTGTGAGCACTTCTAAATGCCCAAAGGTACTTTGACCTGTTAGAAGTACTCCCAGATAAGACTTTTACTGTGCCTTTGACCTGGCTCACTGACATATTTTTACATAGGATGTAGATGATTATGTCTTCCATTTTCTTCCACGTCTTCCTATTGCTTCCTCCATCTTTTTTCTTACCACAGAAAATGATTTAAGAAGGAAAAGGCAGAATAGTTGCACAGTACTTTTCACTGTCAGGAGTAGGAGTCAGGGCCTGTGCTACCACAAGACCCAGTGAGCCTTTTGTCTCAGCTAGCAGATTGAGAGATGTGGCAAAAATGCACATACCCTCCACAGCCACCTGTCCAAATGTCCTGCTGCCTTTGTTGCCATCATCCTACTTTGGAGCCAAGCTTTGAAGCATTGGCAGCAGCTGGCTAACATTTTAACCCAGTCAAAATGCAATAGCTAACAGGATGTTACATTACATTGCATTCTGGGAATTTTACATAACAGTCATCTGCTGTAGAGTGTGCTGGTCTGGATCCGAGCAGGTATTCAGCTTCTTTAAAATTCCACCACTGCCAAGAATGTTTTCCAGGAAGGGGAACGGTGTGAGTCATTGCTGGCTGTGGTACACAGGTGGGCAGAGAGTGGGAGGCAGCCCAACTGAGTGGCAGGTAGGTGCGAGAATGGCCCAACTGATGTGCTTGTCTTGGTAGAAGTTGTCCATATGAAAGTATTTTGATATATGAGCAGCATCTTTATACACGTAACATGGCAAACCACCTTTGAGACTGGAAAAGTCCAAACTGTGGAGGAATAAATAAAATTGTACTGGATATGACCAAAGTAAGGTTTTTTTTTTAATTCTGGCTACTGAATTTTGTATGAAAGTAAAGTTTCCATTCTTGGGAGAGAAATATGTTGCAATTCAAATATGTAAAAAACTTGTAATCGTGGGTCTTCCCTGTTTAATTAGTAATTTAATCTAATGGCAAGTCATTTATCATTAATCCTAGCCATATAACATGTCCCAATGCTATATTTCCTTCATTATTCAAATCTTCCCAATCTACAGATTTAATTTTAGAATCTAAAAGAAAGAATGGGGCAAATATCGTTTGGAATTTAGCTTTAAATTTCTATCTGGAGCAATTCATTATTGTGCATGCCTATAACAAGAACAGCTACCTTTTATAGAATGATAACTTGCACAAATAGGAAGTGATAGGAAACTAAAAATGAACAGTGCTCTTAAGGTGCTCTCCAGAAATTAAAACAAACCTTTTTTAAACACTGTTTTTGAAACAGCTTTTTTGTGAGATCTGTTAATGAAATACACTGTCATGCAGCCTTGCTCTTTCATGCTGTCTATTACGTCATAAGAAGATTGCTGTTACCAACCATGAACTCTTAATCTTTTCCAGTTAATACTTTCTTTCTAATTCTGGGCAGACTTTGAGTTCTATAAATTATGCCTGCATGTGGTGTGTGTGGGCACATGTTAACTTACACAAACACATTACCATCCAAAGAACAAGAAAGAAAAGTTCAAAATAATATATTGAACATTTAACTTAAAATTTAAAAGGCTTCATTTACTGCTAATGCAATTTTTGGAACTGTTGTGAGATATTATTATTTTTTGCCTCCTAGGGCAAACCCATGAATGTTGCTAGTGGTATAAAATGTAACAATAACAACAGGATGAAAGGGGAAATATGCATGTGAAGGAGGAAAAGGTGAGTGAAAGATAGAATCTATTTTTCAGACATGCATCATCATCATTTTAATTTCTATACTGCTCAATAGCTGAAGCTCTCTGGGTGGTTCACAAGAATTCTATTAGGATGGGCACAATAACAAAAGTGAATACAATAAAATACACATAAAATAACATACAGTGTAAAATTCCAGTATACAAAATTTAAAATCGTTTATGAAACTAAAACAATTTTTATAAAAACTAGACCTCTTACAATAGATGACAAATCCCATAATATGCCATTAGATGTCTGGGTGTGGAGGGCAGTTTTAACCTGTCTCTGAAAGACATCAGTGGAGTGTTCATCATAAGTAGCACTGGAGGTGCAAGTCAGAGGAAAGTCTCAGATGTAGATCATAATGTCGGGGTACATTGACAACTGGAGAGGCATTCCATCAGATATTAAAATCTGTTTCATTGATTTTATTCAATCATTTGTATACCTCTCAATAGCCAAAACTCTCTAACCAGTGAACAGAGGGTGGTGTAGAACTTGAATTCAGCACTTTGAATTGGGCTCAGAAGCATATAGTTCTTCTATAGCTCAGAAGCATATAATTCTGGTAATTGACCCAGAATTGGTCTTATATGTTCAGATCTTCTGGTCCGGTTATTAATTTGGCTGCCAGATTTTGTACAAACTGAATAGTTTTTAATGATAGCCCCACATAGACAGCATTGCAGTAATCTAATTTGGGGATTAACTGAGCCTAGATTACTAAAATCTGTCTACCCATGCCCAATTAGGGGCATAGCTGTGCCACCAGCCAACATTGGTAGAAAGCACTCCTTGCCACTGTGGCCAAGTAGCAAATATGGATCAAGGAGAACCCCCAAACTACAAACTTGCTCCTCAGGTGTGCAAGCACATCCAAGAAAGGTTAAACATCCTCCAACTGGTAAGAGGAATGACCCACCAACAGCATCTATTTTGTCTGGCTTGAGCTTCAATTTATTTGCCCTCATTCAGTCTGTTGTTGCAGACAGGCACTGGTTTAGTGCATCTACAGCCTCACTTGCTGAATATGAAAAAGAGAAATAAAACTGTGCATCATCAGTACCGATGGCAGCACATTCAAAAACTTCAGATGATCCCATTCAGCAGTTTGACATAGCTGGTAAATAGTGTAGGGAGTAAGTCTGACCCCTGAGGAACTCTATGATGGAAAAATCCATGGGACTGAGCAATATTCTCCAAACCACCTTCTAGAGCCTCCATCCAAGTAGGCGCAGAACCACTGCAATGCAGTACCCCCCTGCACCCAAAGTTGAGACAGTCACCCCAGAAGAATACCACTGATTCAGGAGTATCAATAGTATCACATTTCCCTGTCTCTCTCCTGGGATAGGTCATCATACAGGGTGACCAAAGCTGTTTCTGCCAAAACCTGGCATGAACCCCAACTGAAATAGATCCAGATAATCAGTCTCATCCAAGAGTCCCTAGAGCTGACTGGACCATGCCCAGGAAAGTTGCTACAAGCAACTCATGTATAAGACAAGGTCAATATTTTGGGCTGTTTATATATGACGACACCCAATTTTTGCCTTGCTATTTTTGGTTTCAGGGGTCATCTTATATACAGATATATGCAGCATTGGAATTTCCAGGTCCAGGGAAAGTTGCTTCAGGAGTGGTCTTTTTTAGATGGCATGGGACAAATCTCTGTCACAGGGAGGCATTAATCACCTTCCTAGCCCAGTTAGCTGTCCTTCTTTGCTATTTTTTAATTAACCAAGAAGGGCAAGGATCCAGAATAGAGGGGGTTACACAAACTTGTCTTGAGCTGTACCAACTCAAACTCATCCAATAAAACTGGACCAGGCTATGCTTTGGGTACCTCCCCTGATTCAACTGCTATAATGTTGGAGTCTAAGTCCTAGTGAATGCAAGAGATTTTGTATGTTAGCGAGTATGTTACAGTTGGTCTCAGATGCACCCTTAAGGCCAGCACATAAGGCCCATACAACTTTAGAAAGTTCCACTGGGTGGCACATAGAGGATTTAATACAGCCAGTGAGATGTTTCTTTGTCTTCCTCACTGACCTGAAATTTACTTGGTTATAGGCTTATACCAGGGCTCAACAGCATCCACTAGGAATTTTCCTGCATCTGCACTCAAACTGTCTCTAAGCTCTACTACAGAGAGTGTACTTGGGAGCAATTATATCAGCTGCACAGGTCAAGCAGAAGGAAAAGGCTAATGCCAGTCTAAATCTCAGCAGACAGTGAGACAAAGAGACTGAATCAAAGTCCTTCACCTTCAGATCACTATCCTCATATCTGTCTGGGGAAAAAAGACAGACCTAGAATGTGCTCTACTACATGTGTTCAGCCAATGACAACTTAGTACAGTCTTCTGGTTGTCATGGAGACTACACCATCCTGAGCCACCCCAGACATTGCCTTTGACATGAATTTTTATGTCCCCCAAGACCAATAGCCTGGGGGACTTCAGCATCTCATCGGAGACCACCTCCATCAGCTCAGATGGGAGACCGAACAGCAGAGTGGGAGGTGCACCAACAGAATCCCAAATCTGTCTTGCCGGACCAGTGCAAGATGCAAACACTCCAGACCAGGGGACAGATGAGAAGCCTACAGAGATAAATTGATTCCTTTCAGAGTGCAGCAACATACATTTCATTGACTTACAAGTCTTCTCTGATCCTTAACCAAGTACTTTGGTGGGCAAAACTGAGAAAAACTAACTTCTCCCTTTTCATCCATCCAGGTCTCAGTTATGCATGCCAGATTGCCTGCTCATCCACTGTTAGATCCTGAATAAAAGTGTTGTTCTGTACCAAACTGGCATTTGGGAGCAGAGATTTTTAATGCTTGAACAGAAGTATCATGAAGTGCCTAGTGCTACACATCAGAAGGTACTGTGCAGCTATAATAGTTTTTCCCTTACAGAAGCAGTGCTGAGAAAACATGGGAGGCTACATATTGAAGACAGTGACATTTGGTCAGCCATACAATTTGGTGAAATTGCACAATAAAAGACTTTCCTGAAAGCATTTCCATTCTTTCTCAGATACATAGTGTAGAGCAAGCCTATGTGCATCTACTCAGATGTAAGCCCCATAAACTTCAATGGAACATATTCCCAGGTGCATGTATATAGGATAGCAACCATATCTTAGAGGAAAAAATAGGAACAAGAGATAAAATATGGCATAGAATTTGCAACCAGTGCTGCAAGTCTATATAGATTTTGCTGGGATTAAGCTGCATTACATTTACTGGGACTCAACTTCTGAGTGGAATTGCAGTAATGAGGAAGCATTTCTTAACTTTATTTATAATGTTCATTTATTAATTATATTTGTGTCAGAATCTGACTGAGGGATTCAGAAGATTTCATGTTGTTTAATTATTGTTGATCCAATAAAATATAATCTTGCAAATTCTAAAATTGTAACTTCAGAATGGAATCAATGAATTAGATGTCTTACTTTGCAGATAGCTGAAACTGTGGCTTTTGCCATTTTTGCTCCATCCCACATTGCCCAGGACTGCTCCATTGCTCCATCCCTACCTCCCATGCTCCAGAGAGGCTTCTCCTTGAGCACTGGTGGCTACACTGAAGAGGAGAGCACAGGAAACTGTTTTCATACTTTATTTGCCTGCAGGTTTTAACTGGGTTATGTGAACTGGAATTGTTTTATTCTGTGCTACTGGTTTGAACTGTGAATTATTGTTTTACTGTGATATTCCCCTTCTGACAATTCATGTTAATTAATTAACCCACATTTTGGTAACAAACACTAAATATGTACAAACAGGCCCATCCTATTTGTATTTATTTATTGATTTTGTTTGAAAGCTGCCCATTAGCATCATGTGTATGTGTATATGTATGCAAAATATGATCAAGCTCAAAAATCATGATTGAAGGCATGACTGAAAAGATGGTGGCTAAAAATAGTTGGCTTCCTCTTATAGGCATTAAATATGAATTAAAGATCATGTAAGGATCATGTAAGGATATAAAAGAAAGATGGTTCATTTCCTGGCTGCTCCCTACCTTCACAAGTAAATCAAAGGTGGGTGTTAAAGACAGGGGTTTGGAAGATTACATTAATGAGCTCCTTCTGTTCTCAGCCTAGATTAAACTAAACCAAGACATCAGAAGAACATTTGATAGACTTTTGTCTGTATCACTACATTTTCTTTTTGAGAGAAAGGCATGAAGTTGTCAGAAAACCTCTTGAGAAATATTTCTTGTGAGTTATTTTTTCCAGTTATTTAATCCAGTTAGCTGTAGCAGCAATCAGATTGCTTTAGTTATGGTATTGCCATATAGCCATGCCAAAGAGCATGTCAGTGTATAGCCTACAATTTCATAACAGCAATAACAGCCACTTTCTACAATGGCATTAGACTGGACTGAGTGCTAGCAACTTAAGTGCCATGCTGTAAGAGGGGAGGCCTGTTAATCAGTATCTTATTTCTGGACATGGTTGATCCATTTGTACATTGAATACAGAAATAGGGCAGAGCAAAATAAGTAGTATTTCACATTGATGAAAAGACATGGAGATTAAACTGACTTATCAATTATCGCCAGTCCTTTTTCTGAATCAATATATGGTCCAGCAGGTCCAGATAGTGTATGGACCTGCTGTAGGTATAAGCTGTGTTACTAGTGAGCCCCATATGCACTCATAAGAATGAACCCGACAGTTCAAGCTGGTGCAATGGGTTCCTGTATGGTGGGGAGCTGAATGTGCATCATGCTGGAGGATGTATGTTTCAACAAGCCCTTGGCAGTATATCAGATGCTTCTCAGTGTAGAAGAAACAAGTGTAATGAAGAGACTTACCATGCTTCATTTCAACAATAGGCAGATCAAAAAGTTGCCGGACTAAATTAAGATGAACTTTGCCATCACACAGGAGAACAGTTTTTGTTTCTTCAGTTACAGCTCCGCTTGAAAAATACTTCTTCAGGTACATAGATATACAGAAATAAACATGTTAGAGTACTGGTGACATTCCTTTCATGTTAATTATTGTCAATTAGCCCCACAGATAAGTCCCTCTGGTATTTCATTTAATTTGTACTCTGTATTTGTAAAATGAGTGGATGGGTGGGTGGGACATTAATTACTGTACGTACCTGTTGGCAAGAGATCTAAAAGCAGAAAAAGCTTAGGGGTTTTCCAAAACATAAATTACAACCCTGCTGGAAACACTTAAGCAAGTCCTGTTCAGTAGGGTTTATTCCCAGGTAAGTGGGAATGGGGATAGGATTGCAGCCTGGGCATTGCAGGGCCAGACATGTCAGGCTAGAGATAAAGTAACACTGAGAGGAGCCATGAGAAGGGAAATGCTGGACAGGTGTCGAAGTAGAGAGGGACTGTGAGATGCCATGGAGGAGAAGGAGCTGGGCAGATGAGAAAGAACAGTGAGGGAATGTTTCAGGCTGAGTATGCATAACCCGCCAAGTTTTCATGGAAGAGATATAAATCAATTCAAGACACTGCAGAAGGAGCAAGAGAAGAAAAGCTGAGCTTTATCAGGTTACAAGTAGGATGCAGCAGCAGCTTATATGGGCTGACTGCCATACTAATGGACAGACAGATAGATGGACAGACAAGGACAAAAATGGATCTTTTTGCACCATCCCAAACAGCTAAGGCTGTACTTGACTCAGGAAATGCTTGCGGCTCATACTCATGCTATGACTATGAGACTGTGCTGGAAAACTACTTTAAGTCCTTCCTTATCTGTGGCTGCTCTTCCCCTTCAGCTGCTTGGCAAAGATTTCCCCACTCTCTGGCTACAAGGGTAAGAATGTTACTCTGAAATTACTAGCACTTTGTTAAATGAGTCTTGTTTAGAACAGTAACCTACTGAGACTGACAGTAAAGAGAGCTGGAAACAAAGACACCCTCCAGCATATATACAAAAATACTGAATGTAATTGATTTGAGAAATTATCATTGTAAGAATCTCTGGTCTTATCAGGATTTTCCTTAATATTTTAAATTCTATTTTAATCAGTTGTACATTATAATTACATGGCATTTATATCCCACCTTTCTTCCTCTTGCACGGAACCTGGAGTGGCTTATAAAGTTCACCTCACAACAACAACCCTGTTAAGTAGATTAGGTTGAGAGTCTGTGACTGGCTCAAAGTCACCCAGTTGGCTCCATGGCCAAGTGGGGACAAGAACCCAGATCGCATGAGTCCCACTCTTGCACTCTTAACCACTACACCTCTCTCTCTCTCTCTCTCTCTCTCCCTTATACTATACTGGCATGAATATAAAGGCTAACTTTCTGCTTACTCAGTGTCTATGACAAGCATGAGCTTTGGACAACCAAAACTCATACTGGCTAGTTGGTTGAGGTAGGTTTAAGGAAAACATCTTATCTTGTAAACAAGTGGAAGTTGTTAGGCATTTGTCCTGTCCTTCAGACGTTTTATGCCCTTCATGAGTGTCTAGAGCAGGATTGTAATATTTCAGCAAGGAAATGCTTGCTTGTAAGTTGAATTCTTGGGACTCCAGCAAGGCTGCTGGCAAATATAGACCTGAGTGCCTTTGTTACATCAGCTGCTAATAGACAAATTACCATCTCTCTGCTGCCAGTTGCTTACTTGAAACTGAATGAAAATGAGGTGTTAAGAATGAGCTGTAGCTGCCTGTGGGAAGGGAGGAAAGAGGGGACTGAAGTAAGATAATAGCAGAGGCATCATGGAGATAAGGGGCCCAAAAAAGAGAAAGGATGGAAGAAGCAGCATAGGAAAGGGCTTGTGGAGAAAACAGAAAAAGCCCCATTCCTATTCCCATGATGTGTTTTTTTTGTACATCAGAATTGTTCTCCTCCCACAATGCCTTATGCTCTAAATCATATTGACATCTATCTGGATACAGAAAATCCTGCCTGGGTGAATGTTGCAGACTTCATGCATTTCCGACAACACCTTTTCTATTTTGTGATCCCATCTTGGTTCTATACTGAATTACAGCTTAGCTTAGGTTGTGATATCCTTGAGCCCTGTTTCTAATCATGACCTCAAAGGCTGTGGGATGAAAAAACCCAGAAGTGGTGTGGCACAATTGGGCAGCATATACATGTTTTAAATAAATAAAAAAAATATGTGGAATAATAGTCAATGGCTGCAAAGGATATGCAGCTACATAACTGATCAACATGCATACCCACTCAAAAACGCTGACTGTTCTTCTTTGGAAGATATTTTTCTCAGTATTTTGCTTTATTACAATAATTATTTTATGCTCTCCACTCTTTTGCTGTTAGTTGCATAATTTTGGCTGCAGTCTTAAATCCACAAGGTAGAAAGTCCCTATTCAACTCCTTAGGCCTTTGTTCTCAGTAAACATACTGAGACTGGCATTGTTTGAAATTTTCTTCTTACATAATTAAGGGTTCATCCTGGCCCTCAGGCCAAGTTACTGGTGTTTGCAACCCTTTTCAATTTAGCATCATCTGCAAATCCCATTAGTATCTTTTTTAGTGCTTCACAGATTAAATGAGACAACAAATGGAATGTCACAGCATTTTAACTGAAAATTAATCAAAACAATCTGGATCTTCTGTCGTTTTTACTGTACTTATACTCTGATATCAGACATTCATTTTCTCTTCCAGCAGGCTCACAGCTAAATTTTCCATTTGTTTTTAGTAAACTGTTCCAAATCTTAATTAACCTTCAGTACAAATCATCTCTCTTAATCTTCTTTAGTGCTCAGATACTACTTTCTGATTATGGTAACTCGCTCTGTTGGTGTCTCAGTTTTTCTACAGCAATGAGCTACATTTCTTGCAAATTCCTATAAGCACCTTCATTTCATGCGTCTTTCTTAGTATAAAAAGCAACTTGAAGTTTTTGCTGTATTCATCCTAACAGTGACCTACTGCTTACAAACAACAGGAAAGGTGGTCAATCTGTGTTTGGATTATACACATGTGGGAATTAATATGGCTGAAACTGCATGAATAAATATATCTTGTATATATGTAGAAACTAGATGGGGAGAAGTGAATCCTCCTTGACAAACTACTTTCCTATATACAGAAGTCTTCCTCACCCCACCTCCACAGGGAACATTTCATCATATAACCCTTCCCTGCAGGTTAAAATGGTGCAGTAGAGATGTAGGGTTACTACCCGACTAGCGTCTTACTTCTGCTAACAAACATAATCTAGTTGTGTTTCCTAACAGTGTCTGTGGAAGCCAGAACCCCACATTGTATGTCCTGGATAAAGCAGTATAGAGGAAGGAGAGGGAGAGCACCATGAAAACTTGAAGGTCCTTTCCGTGAGAGGAACTGGCAAGTAATAACCCTCAGCTTAGCACAGATTCTCTTTTTCATCATGTGAAGGACTGTGCATTTGAAAGACTATTCTGCATTGGCAGTTTTAATGTGAAAAATGTGGCCTTTGCCAATATACTCCACTGTGCATCATGCTATTATAAAAGCCAGGGATAGAGTACATCTGGCCCTCCAGATGTCCTTGAATTACATTTCCCAGCAGCCTCTGTGGAGGACCACACATTCCCATCCCTGATATGTTACAAAGAGCTCTTGTCTGCATGCTTACCCTTAGAGTAAACCCTACAGAACACAGTGCAATTTATTTCTAAGTAATTATGTAGAGGTTTATGCATTGATTATATGTAAATGTTCGGACAAGGAGAATCACTAAATCAATCTATTTAACATGCAATGCATTAAACAGACTGTCACTTTTTAATATTTTCAATGCATTTAAGAAAGATTTTCTGAAACAAAGGAATCTATCAAATTTACAATAAAAAGAAATCCAGTAAATGATCTGAGGATCTGAGGCTCAAGCTAAGCAGGTGTGGACCTTATGCCAGTAGGAAACCTCTTTGACTGAGCCACAGGTAAGATACAATGTTTTAAATGCTATCTATTGCTCCAAAACAAAATAAGCAACATGTTCTGTAAAGTTTGATACAGCCTCACCTTAAATTTATCTAATTAGTATATGAGAATATTATATAATTTTGATAGTATTATCTTAATTCATCCATGAATTGTTGCTTTGTTCCACTGTCGATCCTTTCTTAACTTCAGTCTAGCTGCCTTAGTCATGCTTGATATATGACATCCCCTTCCAAACCCAATAAAACAGTTATGAACAGAAATGTGTATCAGCTACCACTCTTACATATATATTGCTATAACATTACTAAAGAAATTTTGGGGACACAATTCTATAAGGAAGTAAGCCTCAGTGAACAAAGTTGTATCTGAATGAGTGTCTGAAGAGTGCAGCAGGAAGTGATGGCCATAGCAATGCAAGTGCACCATTTGGGTCCATTTTGACAGTAAATTGCCTTGGCACTGCTTCCCTTTCTCCAGCCTCACTGTATTGATATGTTGCCTACTAAATCCATTACTGTCAACCATGCAACCTTCTCTGAAAGTATTTGGCAGAAATCTTAACATGATATATTTAATACAGGCAAGTGGGTTGGATGCCTTAGAAATGAAATGTTAGATAACCCCCTATACATTTCTTAAATGATATGTTACCATTAAGACCTCCAAAACTACCCCAAAGCTCACAGGTGCATCAAAAGTATTTCTAATGTACTGTGATATGTTTGTTTTGTTTTGTTTTCCAGTTAGTAGCATTGTCTCCTGCCATTTGCTTTATTACACCTTCTGGCATCTACCAAATTTATCCTTATTCTTAAATAAAATTTATGCATGATTTTCTGAAGATGAGACCATGGAACAAATGGCTACTTCAGAATTAACTTATAGGAAAGGAAGTCCCTTTTATCCTGTCCTATCCTGAGGACTCATTACAGATATGATTCTTCTGTTTCTTCTAAATAAATACTACAACAAACTAAACACAACTTCTTGGTAGATAATTAGTTTTCATATCCTCAGCCTACTATGGCCACTGTGAGATGACAGAGGCTCCTGCTT